AAGGATTTTGCCTGAGGTAGCTTCAATTGGCTTTTATTTTGGGTTGCTGGAAGTGTGGCTATGGTGGCTTTTGGCTATGTTGACGCATGCTCCCTTGTGGATCCTTGGTCGTCCTTGCATGGCTATGGCTGTTGAGATCCTTGATTCTGTTGATAGTTTTTTCTTCCAGATCTAATACTAACTTTGTTTTGTTCTGAATGTTGCAGTGCGCGGATCTGGTAAGCATTTGCGAAAGCCCTTTGTTTCCTTGCACATGCATCCCCATTTTCTGTCCAGGTCTTGGTGTTTCTAGAGCGCCATGAAATCGGCGGATGTCTATAGGGTTGGATTTGGCCTTGGGTGCTGGTGTCTGGCTCATGGACTGTCTGTTCTAGTTCGGTGTCTTCTCTTTGGGATGACTGTTATGTTTTTCGGCCTGACACAGTTCTGCTCACAAATCTGTGCGTTCCTCCAAAGCCCCCTTGTTTGCTTTTCATGTCTGACTTGTGTTTCACTTGGTCATTCCCTGATGCCTTTTCTTTCAAATTTCGTCGCTGCTATTCTGGTAGCCCTCTGTGATCTGTGTTGTGACCATAACGAGATGACTAACCGAGAAGGAGCTCTTTCTCCTCTCCCGCAGCAGCCTCTCTTTCACCCGGAGCAGCAGCAACTCTTTATCCCGGAGCTGCTCCACGCATGGTTAAGGATTTTTGCTTCCTGAATCTGTCTCTTTCTTGTGTTACTCTCTGTGTGGATATCTGGTAATCTCAGCATCCTTGTGGTCGTTCTCACTCCCTGTTCGATCCTGTTTGCCCTTTGGCTGTGTTTAATTCTGTGGCTATTCCTCCGTAAACTATAATGTGCCTCTCACAGCACCAGCGCCACCACCAGCGGGACTTCCTCGAGCCGATTTTGACGTGCCTGGTAAGAATGATGTCTAGGGGACTGAATCCCATAATTTTTTGTGTCAGACATGATCGCCTGGGCCAAGAAGCTGGACGAGAACCTGACCACAGATTTTGCTGGCGATGACATTGACTGGACAAGCCATGCGACTTTTCGGGAGCTTCATACTCCCGCTTTCTCTGGAATGGATGGCAGTAAAACATACATGTACATGGGTCGTTCACTCTTCACGGAGATAAAAAGTTTCGTATCTGCCTTGAGACACGGACCTCCAGGTGTTATTACTGGAACTCTGGGGTCTGGGAAGACCACTGCTCTTGCTACTGTGGCTGGACATCTTCGGCAACTTTGGAAGAACACCTCCAAGAAGGTCGTCTTTATCAATGGCGAAGATTTCGTCGACAATCCCTTGAGGACAATGTGGCTGGCTCTTTTGCTGAGCTACATAGACGACCTTCCAGCCGAGCTTTCGTGCCGGGGGTGGACCTTGAAAGTATTAGAATCTTGGATCCTGTCGAGATCGTCAGAGCAGCTTTACTTCCAGGCCAACGCGTTTGACACCACGCTGAAGAGAAAACCGGGGGATGCCAGCGCGGAAAGAAGAGACGAGGCTTACCATTCTATGAGGACGATGCAACTGCAGTACGTCGTTGTCTACTGCTCGTCCGTCGGACCTCTGTGGAGGAGCAGATTAGTGAGCGACAAGAGCCAGCCGTACATGTTAGTCACAGGTGGTTACAGCGTAAGTAGCGACTACTTTCCAACGCTGGTGTGGGACTAACTTGTGTGCTTTTCGTTTTATCCAACAGGCTGAAGAACTGCATGCATATTGCGAACACGAGATTCGTCGTGCCGGGCAGCTCCAAGTGGTAGTGTTTGCTGTTTCTTCCTTTAAAGCCTACTAATGGTTTGGAGTAGGAGGATCCAATTGTGGCGTATTGCAGGTTTCGCACAAGGCAAGAACACCGGAAGTTGAATAAGCGCATTAAGGTAAATGAAATGTGTGATTTTACGGCTTACCGACGCGATGAAGCAGGTTGATGGATCTGAAGAGCAGCTGAATTTGTCCGACATGCAGCTCTGCTCGGAATTCGAAAGTGACACTGGCTGGGTTCCCAGGCTTGTCGCTCATTACGGGACCATGAAGCTACAGGACACGTACGAGATGTACGAAGCTGGCGTGGAAGAGTATCTCCAAGAGGCGGTCAAGGACCGATATCGCTGGAATTTCTTCATCGATGTGGTCGGCGGAGTGGAAACGATTAGAAGGGTGTTGCCAGACGCGCTAGACACTCGATGCTTCTACGTGGATCCAGAGACACAAACAGGAAAATGTCTATCAGATTCTCTGCGTGCACGCACTATGGCGCTCATCACCGAGACTCTGGAGTACACGTCCGACATTGAGGCTAGGATGGGTATCGGCCAATGGACAAGGCTGATCTCGCAGGACGACAACAGTGCTCGGGTTGGGTGGAACGCAGAAATGGCAACTCTAATTTTCATCAAACACTATGGTATCGTTATTGACGCGGATGGTCTGCAGCTTAACTTCAAACCTGAAGTGGTTGTCAGATTCGAAGTTGATTTCTCCCCCGTTTTGCTGAAAACCGGCAAGGTTTCTCGCTTCTTCCTACCTGTGAAGTTCAACCACCTGGGAGTTGATTGCCTTGGAGAAAACAAGAAGGTCGTGTTGGGGGTGCAAATAGCGACTGCGGTGGACACGGTATTGAAGCATGGAAATACGCTCTCGCGATTTTTGGAGATGACAAAAGGTGACGTGCGAGAGAAGGTTCTTGTCTGGATCTTGGCAGTAGACAGTGCTGACAAGATATGGATACGCAATGGCATGGGTTACAAGGAGGTGTTCATTTCTTTTGGCCATTTGAGTAAACTGCTGGAAGTCATCGATGTTGCATGCTGCAGGTTGCATCTTGAGAGTAGCAAGAACGTCAAGGTGGCAAGCAACCCTGAAGAAGCTAAAGTTGAGGTGGAGGAGTTGAGAAAGCTTGGTCGGTGTGGTTCTTTGAGCACGGGAAGTGGAAATCCGTGTCGGCGTTTTTGTGGTGCCCAGCCATATTGCCATCACCATGATAAGGGTAGTTATCCACCTATACCCATATATATATGATTTCAAATTTTTTAAGGGTAGAAATATACTTTACTCAAGGGTATATTATATTTTTAAGTAGCTACTAATTAATAGGAATCAAACTTGTGCCATTTTCTTTAATACCAAATATAACACACCTTATCTCTCCCCCCTTAAGCCAACTGAAAAAGGAGCAATTGATTAATAAAAGAAACCTTAGTAACTTATTTTTCCCCCAAAAGGTTCTAAGAATCCACGGTGATAGTATATTCAAATTTCATCCCATGATCACATGCACTATAATTATCATATTAATCCATGGCTTTTCACAAGAGTACCTTCCAAGATAAAGCCATTGCATTTGAGTTAATGTCTAAGGAATTGCAACATAACATCTCATCTTTACTTTTGTTAAAAGAATAATTTGTTTTATTGATATTCTTGGTGAAATAAAGAATATCCCTTCTCTGAAAGGTGGGAATGCTAAATTGTTTCAATAGTATTGCAAGCCTTAGACAATTTTGCAGCTCTTTCTTACACTTTAAACATGCTAGCTAATTCAAAGATTCATTCAATGTTCTATATAAGTAAACTTAAAACATGTTTTAAAGATTGATGCTAAAAAGGTTAATCTAACCAAAATTCTTATTCAAAGGTTGATGAAGACATGTTATAAGATAACTTAGGAGTTGTTAGTTCAATGGAATGACTATTCTTTGGATGAGGCTATATAAAAAGCTAAAATAACATAAAGAGTGTTTTAAAGTGTTGGTTATGACTTAGAGGGAGAATTGAGTTTAATATGTCAAAAGCTCATTGTTGAGAGAAGGGGAGATGACAAATTTTTATAATCTTTTTTCTATAGCTATTTTGCTTTGGACTCCTTTGATGTGAGGCTTATTTAGCTTCTCAAGGCTGTTGTTTATGAAGAGGGAAAAATGATATAAACCATAAGAAAAATTTAAGAATATTCTATAAGTTAAGGTAGCAATATTATGTTTTTGCTGAAGTGTTAAGGATTTTGACTCTACAAAGTTGAGATAGATGCCATATTAGTTGTCTATTAGTTGAAGTTAAACATCTTCTCACATATATGAGCCAAAAGTTTAATGCCACATAGTAGAATTGGTTTACTTAAGACAAAAAGTTATATATTGTAATTATTATTGTGAAAGAATAGTGATATTATCTATATAAATTGGACTTCCATATGAATTCAGACTAGGTTAGATCATAGCATTCTTCCTTCCACTTTTAAGTCCCAAGAAATGAGAACATTCTTTAATATTCCAATTCACAAAATATCCTTTATGCCCAAAATGTTCCTTACTAACCATATGTTCATGGCTCAAAAGGGCCACATAACGACCCATGCAGCTGATTCTCATCTCTGAATTATGATAGCAAAAGAGAATGCTATTGAAAAAAAGCTTACCTCCATTTTGCCTCTTGAAGTATCATCCCCATCATCTCCTCGCCTAATAGAGGACTTATCAAAACTTTGTTTTTGTTTCTATTTACCTTGAGAGTTCAGTTCCTGCAGATCATTGCATTCGACCCATTCAAGCATCAAAAACGCCCATTCGAGATCTCTGGAGTCATGTAAACGGATGTGTTTCTGGTGTCCATAGCCAACTATCATCTCATTGTAAGAAGAAAGGGTTTTAATCAGAGCCTCGTCAAAGTACTCCTTTGTGGCGGATAGATGCCTCTTTTGGGCAAATGCAGTATTTTCTGGGAGAATTCATTGGGCTTCAAAATGGTTTCAAACACCGTGAGTGCGTCATTGAGGCCGCCACACTTGTCATACATTTGCATGAGAAGAAAAGTGAAGTGTTGTGGGGGCGAAATTGTGGACATTTCAAAAGGAAGAAGGATTTGTAGAAAATTTATGCGATTCGAACCCACGCCCTCCCGGATTGGAGCATACATCCAACACCTTAAGCTGTCATGGATGGAATCAACGGCTGGCCATCTGCCAGGTGGACTGGGATGGTAACATTTAATGCTTCGTTTGCTTGCTTGGTGCGCGTTTGCACGTTCCTGCCTCCAGGGTTTGGCGGCCAACGATCGATATCCTAGGTTATCCTTCTCTCAAGCAATGGATTGATTCGCGACACGGCGGCGGCAATCGATTGATCGGCGATGGAGCTAGGTAGTCTGGGCCAGGTTCTTGACCGGATCGACAGGATTTCCAGCGCGCCGCTGGGGATGCTGTCCAAGCGCGAGTGCATCCGGAGATTTGTGGGATTTTGCGAGCGGCTCCAGCCGATTCTAGAGCAATTGGATGCTGGGCAGGACGTGGAATTGCCAGTGACGATGGCGACGGCGCTGGTTGGGATTGGAAGGGAGCTCCAGAGGGCTGAGTCGGTTCTAGAGGCTTACAAGGAGAGGAGCCAGTTTTTCGTTCTCACGCATTGCCTCGCGCTGACCAAGACCATGGAAGACTTGACCCAGAGTCTTGGGAAGTGGATCTCTTTACTAAATTGTGGTGGATTGTCGGAGCTTAAGCGGAGGATAGAAGACCTTTCCACGGAGATGCAACACGCTAGATTCTACGTAAGTTTTTTTTTTTTTTCCTCTTCCTCTTCTTTGGTTTGTTGACTTTGAGATCTATGTTTTCTTTGTCTAGGTGACTGATGCCGAGAAAAGCTCTCTTGACGCTCTAGAAAAGGAGGTCAAGTATGACTTTCTCATCGTGGGAGTTCTCTGGAGAGACCTCGCGCGGCTGATTGGAGTAGAGCCGACAAATTCTCGAGCATTAGAAGAGCAAGTCCAGCTTTTGAAGAAGGAGGTGACGATGGTCGATGTCAGCATGGATCGAGAGCTTGATCAGATGCGGAACATTCTCAAGATCGTGGAGCAAGTTACTGCCGAGCCGCAGCTCACACGGATGTATAGCTACAAGGAGTCTGCTGAAGAGGAGCCTCTGCAACCGTTCGAGTCGTTCGTGTGTCCGCTGACGAAGCAGATCATGAAGGATCCGGTTATGATCCAGTCGGAGCTGACTTACGAGCGCAGCGCGATTGAGAGATGGTTCAAAACCTGCGCTGAAGAGGGACGATCCGTGACTTGCCCGGCCACTGGTGTGCTGCTGGCATCCACGGAGATGAGAAGCAACATCATGCTGAGGCATACCATCGAGGAATGGTGCCAGAGGAACGCTAGGATACGAATTCACAAGGCGTTGTCTCAACTCTCGAAGAGCTCCTCCATGAAGAGTTTGGCGGGTGTGGAGGAAGCCTTGGATAGCATTCTTAAGGTTTGTGGGGACGGGCCGGTGACTCAGTACAGGCTTGGAAAATCTCACTTTACTTCCTCGGTGCTGGAATTTTGGAGGAAGAGGGTGGCGGGTGGTTCACAAGTTCGAACGAAGGCGCTGTATATTTTGCAACGAATTGCTGCTGACGACATCGACAGTCAAGTAAGTTTCTTTCCTCTTTTCTTTCTCCATGTTTGATGGATATTTCTTTAGGAGTGTTTGGTTGAAGCAGGAGTATTGAAGGCCGCCGTGAGAAGCCTTTCGAGCAGCCACGTTTACGAGGTGGAGGGTGCTCTCAAGCTTTTGCTAGAGATATCAAAGAAGCCAGAGTTTGCAAAGCTGATTGGCAAAGAGAAAGGAGCGCTCATTCATCTTCTCGGCATTTCTTCGAACTCTTCGGGAAACGCTTCCCTATCGGTCCTTGCGGACAGGACGTTAAGAAATCTGGAACAAATAGATTCAAACGTTTGGGAGATGGCTGAGGCTGGGCGGCTTGAGCCATTGATCACACGCCTTTGCAAAGGTACTGATAGTAGTTTACATAATTGTTACTCATGGCTGATTGTTTTGCTACAGGACCAGAAGCTACAAAGATCGAAATGGCCGAGTATCTCGCAGAGAAGATATTTGTCAACAGCCAGAAAGAGTTTGTCGCCAGGAAAGCAGGAAAAGTTCTTGTTCATATGCTATCAGCCAATTCCATGCAAAAAGAGGCGGCCATAGGTGCGCTGCTGAACCTCTCATCCCTGGAAGAGAACGTTCCAGTTCTAGTGAAAGCTGGCATACTGCTCCCAGTGGTTGAAATCATCCTCTCAGTTCCAACTTCATCGAATCGCTTGCGAGGAAATTCGAAGGAACAGGCTGCGACGACACTAGCCAACGTCGTCGCCGTCGCCGGCAGCTGGGAGACAGTGCAGATCGACTCCGAAGGGAATTTAGTCCAGTCGGAGTACTTTGTGCACAGACTCCTGGGGCTCTTGTCATCGGTTGGGCCAGATTGGAACAGCAAGCTCCTGAAAATTCTTATTGGAGTCGCTTCATCACCACAAGCCGCAGGTAATGTTCTTCTTTTTTCCATCCTTCCGCGATCCATCTTGACATAGTTTATGTTTTTGCCGACAGATAATGCTGTCAAGCACGTCGTCACTGGAAACGGCATCGCCATTATCCTCACTCTTCTCCAAACCAGCGATGACGCGCATCGGCAACATCTTCTCAGCTTACTTAGTGTTCTTTCGGTCAGAGCCGGCAGAGAGATAAGTCAAGCCATCGCTGAAACCAGGCACCTCCAGAGCCTTAAAGAGATAGTCAAGCTCAAGAACGCCGAGGAGAGCATCTTTGCCGCGTCCATCATCGCCAACATTCCTCTCACAGAGCACGAGACGATCAACTTCCTCGGCCTGGAGATGATAAGCTGGAGTCTGGCCACTATCGAAGAGCTCAAAACGCGAAGAATGGGATCAGCTCGCGTGACTTCATCCATGCTGGAGGCCCTGCTGGGAGTGCTTCTTCACTTTACTCGCTGCCGGGACTCTCAAGCGATCGACGCGATGAAGCAAAGCAAGCTCTTCTCGCAATTCAAGCAGGTACTGCAGCTCCATCAAGGCCGGGCTTGGGTGGCGAAGCAACGAGCAGCCACTGGACTCGGGTACTTGTCCGAGAGAGGCCTGATTCTATCCCCAGAGGTGATGGCAAGCTCAAGCTTCAGGAGGAAAAACAACTGGATGGACAACCTTTTCTCGTGCTTCTCCTCGAAGAACTCGTCGCTGGATCAGGCCATTCTCGCCGACTCGGTGTGTTCGATCCACAAGAGACGGTGTGATCCCGACGCCAACTTTTGCCTGCGAGAGGCCGGAGCCATCGGCCTGCTCGTGGAGCTGCTCGAGGAGGACGAAGAGCAAGCCTCTGTCCAGATCGCAGCGGTAGAAGCTCTCTCGACGCTGGTTAGCAGTGACAGCCTCGTGGAGGCCGGAGTCCGCGAGATCTCGAGAGCGAGGGGAGTGGCGGCGTTCATGAAGTGGTTCCAGACGCAGCGATCCGGGGAAGCGCAGGAGAAGGGAGCGTTCCTGGTGGAGAGGATCCTCCGGGTGGAAGAACACGCGCGGCTCTACTCGCTGGATCAGGGGCTGATCCGGGCGCTGGTGGAAGTTTTCAAGCATGGGAGGAATGGAGCTCGGAAGAACGCCGAGGCGGCGCTGGCTCACACCGATATGCTGTCGGTGGTCAGCGGGAAATCTAGCAAAAATCGCAGGTAACCACTTTTTATGTTTTCTTCTAGATGGATGATCTCTTTGTCTCGAGATCTTAGTTTCTTCCAGGATCATGAGATCTCTTCGTGTAAATTCCTGTGGCTATACGATCATACTAAGCTCTTTCAGATGATCTTGCGAGTCTTATTTACTCTTTTTTAGGTCAAAACGTGATCGTACATAAGTCACAAGAATTTACACGATGATCCTGGATGAACTATCTCGAGACAAAGAGATCATCTAAATCAAGGAAAACGATCCTCGTTTTGATAAAAAAAAAAGAGAGGAAATAAGACCCGCAAGAACTTAGTATGACAAGAATTTACACGAAGAGATGAAGAAACAATCTCGTGACAAAGAGATCATCTAAAAGATCCTATCACGAAAGAGAAGAGTCGTACACTTTTTTTTTTGGATCAAAACGAGGATCTTTTGTCGACCGTGTCATAACGGGCGGATTTGTTTGTTTGATGGGAAGATTGCCAAGAAACGCGCGGGATTGACGAAGCACGCGAAGAGAATTAGGGCAAGAGAGAGGAAAAGAGAGGAGGATCGACGATCATCACAGGGATCACGCGGCGGCGGCGGCGGAGAAATGCGTGGCTGCCGCCATGAATGAGCGGTGCTGCTGCTGCTTCTTGCCGTGTTTCTTGGATGTTTCTCCCGTGAGGAGGGAATGCCGCGGCTGGGGATGCGCTTCATCGCGATCCAAGCTTGGATCCCCGGATTGTTCATCTGGTTCGATTGATTTCTCCAGTTCTTGATCGCCAGGGCCGATCAATTGCTGTGATGCGATGCGCCGAAGCGTGCTTCTAGCGGGACCATGATATTAGAGGTGGATTTCTTCTCTCCCTTTCTTTAATTTTAGTTTGGCTATGGTTGTCCAGGATGGTGGCAAATCGTTCCTGCGCGTGAACCTTGTGTGGAAGCTCGTGATCCTCTTCGTTGCTGGAGTGCTTGGAGTCTACCTCTTCCTTTCGCGAGCCGACCATGGCCTGAGCTACCATAGCCTGAGGCTTGATCCGCTTCTACAAGCCTGGAGAAAGGAGGATTTCTGCCCCCAGCGATTCGCCAAGCTTGAGTTTGCACAGCACTATCCCAGGCCCAAGACATACTCCAGGTAGAGTAGAGCCTTGCTTTCCTTTCTTCGATTCGATTGAACGCTTTGTTTTGTGATGTTCTTCCTTCCTTCCAGGGGCGAATGCGCTTGTACTCCTGTGCACAACTTTGTCATCCTGTCCACGCAGCGATCCGGAAGTGGATGGTTTGAGACTCTGCTAAACAGTCACCCCAACATCACCTCGCATGGCGAGATTTTTTCCGTTCGTCCGCGACGCCACAACTTCTCCATTGTTTCGCACACTCTCGACGCTCTGTACAATCTCGACTGGCACAACAGCGCTTCGAAGAACTCGTGCACGTCGGTGGTGGGCTTTAAGTGGATGCTAAACCAGGTAACCTGGTAGTAATGCTGTGTTTATCTCTCTTGCTAACTTGGTGTGATCTCCAGGGTGCTATGGAGTATCGCAGCGAGGTTTCGAGCTACTTCAAGAGACGAGGCGTTTCGGTGATTCTTCTCATTCGCCGGAATGGACTCAAGCGTCTCATCTCCATCCTCGCTAATGCCTACGATCGCAGGCAGCCAATGAATGGAACTCACGTCTCACACGTCCACTCTGAAGAGGCGGTACGAGCAATAAGATCTCCTGGCTTTGCTGAAACGATCTCTCGCTTTTGCAGGCCGATCTCCTCGCGTCTTACAAGCCGACCGTCGACGTCGCATTCCTGAAGAACAACTTGGATCGCTACGACCTCATGATCAAGAACGCGCTCTGCGCTTTCGAGGGCACCCGCTTGCTGGTCATTTACTACGAGGACTTTGTCAAGAATCGAAAGGTAACTCTTGCTACTTCTTTCTCTGCCGATCTTCATCTTGGATCAAACTCCAGGAGATGCAACGAACCGTCCAGGAGTTTTTGAGCGTTCCAGTGATGAGGCTGCGAAGCAGGCAATGGAAGATCCACCGGGGGCCACTCTCGCAGTCGGTAACCAACTGGAAGGAAGTTTTCCGGGAGCTCAATGGAACTTCATACCAGGGGTTTCTCGCCGACGACGACTATAGCTGATAGGAAAAATTCGTTGTATTCTTTTCTCCCCATCCATCGATCTAACCTTTGCTGTAAAGAAATTTCTGTCGATAGTTCTAAAGCCATAATGGTTAAGTCTTAAGCACTCTTTTCTTTTTCAATTTTTAGGGCTATGTCGATTGGGGGCGACTGCCGCTGCTGCGTGGACGAGGAGATCGATGCGTTTGGCGAGATCGTCGGTGGCAACGGCGTCTTCAAGTACTACGCCGATGGCGCCTGGAAAATCTCGTCGTCAGAGGAGTCGCTGCCTGTCATCAATCCGACTTCTCGGGAGCCCTTCGTCGCGATCACGGGTAATTGTCCTGCCGCATTGTCTGTTTTTAGGATTTTAGATCTAGTTCCTCGTCGATCCAGAGTTTTATTACCTCTTGTTTGATTTTTCTTTTGTTTGTATCTTTCTTAGCTCGAAGAGTTTGTCTTGATTTCATTTAATCGATCATTTTTTGCAATATGTCTGCAAGTTTGATCTTGTTTTTGCTGTCTACGAACCAAAAGTTTCGTGCTGTGCTCTTGCTGTTGTTAGGATTATTTTTTCTACTTTCAGAAACTTCTGAAATTGTCTGTTTTTTCATTGGATTCCTTCTTGTTTGATATTTCTTTCGTTTCTCTTGAATTGCTCGAAGAGTTTGTCTTGATTTCTTCGATCCATCTGCTGTCAAGTTTGATCTTTTTGCTGTCTACGAATCAAAAGTTTGTGCGGTTTAAGCTTCATGCTATATTGGCTGTGTGCTCTAGGATTGTTTTTTCTACTTTCAGACTAACATCTGAATTTCATGCAGCGTGTACACGCCGTGAGGTGAACAAAGCATTTCACAGCGCCAAAGAAGCTCAGAAGTCATGGGCTAAGACACCGCTTTTCAAGCGTGCCGAGATGCTCCACAAGGTCGCGGGCGTCATGAAGGAGAAGAAAAACATGGAGGCGATTGCCGAGTGCCTAATCAAAGAAGTCGCGAAGCCAGACAAGGATGCTTACACCGAGGTTTCCAAATTATTATCATGAAACCAACAAGCACTACTGTTTCTACGTAAGCACCAGCTTTTGAGCATCCCGTTTTTGTTTAACTAAGGTGCTTTCTTTGTTGTGTGTGGATCACTGCAGGTTGTGCGATCTGCGGACTTGCTGTCCTATACTGCCGAAGAAGGAATCCGGATACTCTCGCAGGGGAAGTTCCTTGTTTCGGACTCGTTCCCAGGAAATGAGAGGAACAAAGTTTGTATATCGTCGAAGGTAGCGTCTCTTTTCTTTTTGTTCATTCTCATTATATGGTTTGCGCAGGTGCCACTGGGAATTATTCTTGCTATACCTCCATTCAACTATCCTGTGAATCTTACGGTTTCCAAGATTGGACCAGCTCTGATTGCTGGCAATGCCGTGGTTATCAAACCACCAACACAGGGTGCTGTCTCGACGCTCCACATGATACACTGTTTCCATATGGCAGGATTCCCAAAGGGCCTGATCTCGTGTGTTACGATCAAAGCCTCGGAATTGGGTGATTATATGACCACGCATCCATTAGTAAACTGCATAAGGTGAGCTACTCTCTCGCATCGCAGCAAAGTATTGACTTTTGCATCGCTGTAGTTTCACAGGGGGTTGTGAGACTGGAATTTCCATCTCACAAAAAGCTGGAATGATACCTTTACAAATGGAGCTCGGGGGCAAAGATGCCATGATAGTTCTCGAGGATGCTGATTTAGACCTTGCAGCAACTAACATTATCAAGGGAGGTTTTTCGTACAGGTGAGTCTATCGGAATGTGTTTTTGTTTGTCAGTCCAATAATTTCGTGGATCTCTGTTTGTAGTGGACAGCGTTGTACTGCAGTAAAAATTGTTCTGGCTATGGAAGGCATAGCTGACGCGCTGGTTTCCAAAGTAAATGCACAGATTGCGAAACTTAAAATCGGGCCACCAGAAAGAATTGACACCGACATCGTCGACGTTGTTAGTGAAGCATCTGCGGACTTCATTGAGACTCTTGTAGCAGATGCGATCGACAGCGGTGCCAAGCTTTGCCAGGTAAGTAATTTTTGCAGTGCCGTTTTGGCAAACCTTCACGTTCTTCTTCTCTTCTCAGGGGTGGAAGAGGCGAGGTAACAAAATATGGCCGCTGCTCATTGATAATGTGACAACTGAAATGAGAATCGCTTGGGAAGAGCCCTTTGGTCCTGTGATTCCCGTCATGCGCATCAAGAGTGTGGAGGAAGGCATACAACACTGCAACTCTAGCAAATACGGTCTCCAGGTCTGTGCTTTAAACCGCGGGAAGAATTACTTTACGGGAAGTTTCTCTTGTATTTGTTCAGGGGTGTGTTTTCACGAAAGACATTAACAAAGCGATACTTGTGAGTGATGCAATGGAAAGCGGGACTATCCAAATAAACGCGGCTCCTGCACGGGGTCCAGATCATTTTCCCTTCCAGGTAATACACTTGCAAGGACGTCCTTTTTCCTAAGTTTTCTTTCTATCTGACCAGGGAATTCGCGATAGCGGAATTGGCTCGCAAGGAGTGACTAATAGCATCAACTTTATGACCAAGATCAAGACCACAGTTATCAATCTGCCAAGCGCCTCGTACTCTTTGGGTAAGATTCTTTTTCTGGAGTTGAAAGGTTTGGCAATGGAACGAGCGTTTCCTTGTTTTCAGCTGTGGGTGATTATGAGTACAAGGAACCGGAAAGGCAGCTGGATGCCGGAGATTTTGAAGCTATGAGAGGAGCGCCGTGTGGCTACTGCGCCATGCATTCTCTAATCCCTTCGTCAAGGCTAAAGACTCCCCCGACGACTACAAAGCTCTCTTCACCTTTTTTTCTTCGGGCCAACACGCACAACTGTCTTTGCACACGCATTACATACAAATGAAAGATATCTGGTAAGCAAGACACAAACTTCGCAACTCTAATGCTTTTATTCTCAGATCGCAAATCTTTTCAAACTTTAGATCGTGTCACCGAGCGAGAAGTAAACTGTGATCGTATCCACAACAAACGTCTATAACTTCTGCGTGTTCTTCCAAGCTCTCCACCAACACAGGCAGATTCTCGTCTCTCGAGCTTCCCAGGCCAAGACGACCATTCCGGCCACACCCCCACGTCCAAACTTGATGCTTGGACGTCAAGGCCAGCGAATGGACGCGTCCTCCAGCCACCGAGACAACCGGATCGTCTAGTTCTTCCAGCTGTTTTGGAACCGAGCTCGGGCCAGAGCGTCCCAACTGCGAACCAGACGACCAACCCCAAGTATAGGCAGCCCTCGAGCATCTCTCGACAGCCAACGAGTGGCCCCATCCGGCTCCAATCGCGACTACTTGCTTGCCTTCTAGATCGCCTCCAACGCGGGAGATAATTGGTGAATCCTCGGTGGTTTCGCGACCGAGTTGAGCGGTGCTGTTGTCTCCAAAGCTAAAGAGTAGACCGCTCTCTGCAATAACGGTAGACGAACGATCTGGCTCGAGAACGATTTCGATGCTTACCAGAGAGCGCAAGAGAGTGGTCGAGGCCACAGGCAACTTGGACGATCTTGGATGGCTCTGGAAGTTTCACGAGCTTTGGCTCCCACTGCAAGATCGGGGCATCCTCTTTACGCAGTTGCTCCATCAACATCTTTTCTCCAACGTCGTTGTGATCGAGAGAATCCTTCGAAGGCTGGATCATCAAAGTTTGGTCTTGCGGGAGCAAATAGCCGAGACGTCCAGAGTCGTGGTAGCCCCACGAGAATAGCTCGCCATCCATCGTGCAAGCTAGAGCGTGACCCCATCCAAGCGACACCTTTGAGAAGAAAAAGAAGAATTACTCTCGAGGAAGATCAAAGATGTGTGAGAAGGTACCTATAGCACCTGAAGAACACTTTTCCCAGCCAGTGCATGGATCTTTTGTGGAAGTAGCGAGCTAGTCACACCAAGTCCGAGACCAAGCTGGCCTCTCTTGGACGACCCCCACGACCAGAGCGATCCATCCTCGCAAATCGCCATGGACACCACTCCAGACCCCGCTGCCGCTCTAACTCTGGTGGATTCCATTCCTCTCACTCGCTGTGGAGTGATAGTAGCCGCACTGGATCGAGAAAACGCAAGAAAGATGTTTGTTCTTACCAACAAAAACGAAAGAATGCTTACCTTAGAATGGATTTCTCGCCGCGGCCTAGCTGCCCCTCGTTGTTCCTCCCCCATGCCCATAGCTCGCCGGATCGCGAGAGCGCTAGGGAGTGGTAGTGGCCACAGGCGACGCGCGCGATCGATGGGGGCAGGCCTGGCACAGCGGCCGGCTCAAAGGAATCGTTGGTGAAGGAATGGGGGTGGCCAAGGGCGCCATTGCTGCCATCGCCAAAGCTGTACACGGCCGCGGTGTGGAACGCGCGCCCTAGCACATTCCTCCTCCGCGCCAAACCTATCATCCTCCAAAACCCTAAACCCTAAACCATTCTTTTCCACTTTAATTGCATGGTATGATAATTGTTTTATTGGGCAGCTTTTGCTTATTACTTTAGTTTTCTTTCTTATAACATACATGGGTAAATTAGTGGTTAGTATTCTTCTTCTGGTAATTTTGAAATTCGTTGTTGAAGCAGATGTTGTAAATTGGGATGCCATTTCACTTTACAATTATATCAATAGAGATGATATTAACAGAATCGGAAAATCTTTAATAGAGTTGATGGATACAAAAATAGCGGAAACACAAAAATACTATGGTGCATTTACTTGGACTGATTATCTCTATTTAGCAAATGAAGTTGTTGAAGTTAGCATTTGGATCTATAGTAAAAAGCCTCATGGCATGTGTAGTATGAGTTTAACAGGAACAGGAGCATCAGGAGAAGAAATTCTAGGAAAACTTAATAGCCTTTTATCAGGTGTATTAAAAGAAGCACGTGTGGGAAATTATGGTTATATAGTTGCTACTTTGAATTTTGTTGGTATCAAATATAAACTTCTAAATGCTAGAAGATATAAGAGGCCTAGTACTGAATTTGAAAATAGCAATAATATTATGATCAATACCAATAGAAGTTATCTAAATATAGATCTTAATTGTTGGATATACAGGTCTAGTCTTGTGAGTGGTGAAAAATATGATTTAGGATCGTATTTACTCAAATTAAATCCTTTAATTTCTCCATATGGAGATTATGCATTAAGTCTCAATAAAAATTGCAATTTAGTTTTTACATGGAAAATGGAACATATTTTATGGGAAAGTTTGACTACTAATAAAGGAATTGGCTGCTGGTTACATTTAGAAACTAAAAACTTAATAATAAAGGATAATAAAGATATAGAAATATGGTTTTTAAACTTTCATTGTCCAAGCTGTAAATCAACAATACTTTATGTTGAGGATGACGGATTTTTCTACATAATTGGTTCGAATAATAACAAAATTTTGAAACGCCTTCCATAGATAAAAAGTAGAAAAGAATTGTTTTTAACAATGTGCTTTTAATTTTGGTTTGCTTGTAGTGTTAGTAAATATACCTAGAATATGCTTAGATATTTTGAGATATTCTACCATTTAAGTATTCATTTAGATTAATCTTGTATTTATAATATATAAATTCTCCTAAACACTTCCTAGTACATTCTACTTTATTCAACCATTTAATCATATGAAATAAGGTTAATCTTGTGTTTATAAATTATAAACATGTTTATAATTATAAGCTTTCGATTGATCAATTGGATCAATAAATAATACTAAAAAACAATAACACCACTACTAAGCAAATCAAGCACTGCTGCATGCAACATGCAGCAAATTATTTAAAATTTTCTCTAAGAAAATAAAAATTTTATTATCTTTTTAATATGAAGCTATTTGTTTAAAATCTTGTAAACTTATTAATACTTGTTAAACCTTGGATAAAAGATAAGGTATTTGAATAGAGACAAAACTGTGGTGAGCTTAAGTTCTCATAACAGGTTTTGAGAACTTTCGGCAACATAAGTGATAATTAAAAAAAAATAGTATTAAAACCTTGATTGCAAACCAAAAATGGAAAATACAATATCATATCAAACTTAAGCAAGAAAAGAGCACAACAAAGTTCCAACAAGTCCTCTTCGCAGAGATTTTCACATGATTTCCATCGCTGGTTGATGGAATCTGATAATCCGACTCTTCGTTTGAAGAGGGTGGCGGGAGTGTTCGTGATCCAGTTGGACTTAAAAGAGGCGGTGTTGGTGATGATCCAGTTGATCCACCAGGATATGGTGGTGATGATCCACCAGGATAGGGCGAAAGAATAGGAGGTGGCGGAGTATAATCAACTGGAGGCGCTGGCGAAGGATATGGGGGCGACAATAGTGGCGTTGGAGGTGCTAGAACCGGTGGCGATACCACAGGAGGAGGACCTACACAAAACACCCCAGAGAACCATCGAGAACTTAGATTTTGAAAGAGAACTTACCGGTGGGGTTGCAAAGATCGATGGTCACTCCGGCCAAGTTACAGAGGCTGGGAAGCGAGAGCGCGAGCGTGATATTGATCCGATTGCCCAACTGAGAATTCACGAGCGCGCACAGGCACGCTGGATTCGATTTGACGACCGTTTCCAGGCCATTGCAGCACGGCTGCGTGGGATTGCTTCCCTGGCCCTGCAAGAATGGAAGGCAAGGGAGGAGAACTCCGAGCTTTGGACCGCAGCCTTGGGGAAGCTGCTGCGCGTGGATTTGCTGCTGCTGGGATGATGCCAGGGCCGCCGCAATCGCGAGAAGAATCAGGATCGCCATCGTAGTGCGTCCGCGAAAGAAGATAATCGAGGCAATTGAAGTCGCGGGAAGAAAAGAACTACCAAGAACTGAAAGAAAAACTGGAATTTGGTGAGCCATAGATCAAAATTCCAGACGGGAATCACGGGCCAACTCATGCCAAACCTCCAGCGTTGACCAGGGCTGAAACTGTGTTATTCGTTTTTCAAATATAAGAATGAAGGCTGCTTTGGTTTTGTCTCTGATGTTTGCTCTTGCCACTCTCTTTGGGTAGAAGGGAGCTTTTGGATAATGGTGCTGGTGTTTATGACTCATCAGCGGTAGAATCAGCACAAGGAAGAGGAGAAAAAGTTCAATCCTTCTATGTTCTCAAGAAATTTTTTGTCTCTAACCAACATCCATTTTTTCCTTTAATGTCAGGAGTGGGATTTGAACCCACGCCCTCGCATGAGGAGCAGAACTTGAGTCTGCCGCCTTAGACCGCTCGGCCATCCTGACAATCTATCCTGTAATCTTGGATTTGGACTAATGGTGCATTGTGATTGCATGGACAAGGCATGCTGGACCTTGTAACATAATACATAAGCCCTCCAAGCTCCAACCATTGAGAATCAGCTCTCCATCCATCACTATTACTACAACAATGAAGGCTGCTTTGTTGTTCTTTCTATTGTTTGCCACATTATTTTCTTCTTCTTCTTCTTCTTTAAGTAAAAGAGAGCTTCTGTCTCTGGAGGATAATGGTGTTGCTGCTCAGGATTTACCAGCAGTAGCACCAGCCTCCAATTCTGATCAAATATATCCTCCAGAGATGGATGATCATGATCATCAACGTCCTAAGCACACGAAACTGAGGAAGAACAAGAAAAACAACAATAACATCAACATCAATATCAACATTTGCAATATGGATCAGGAAGATTCAAAGCAAAAGGAGGAGAAGAAAAAGTTTTAGAGTAGAATTTACAAATGGTAAATCTCATTTTGTAGATCAATAAAATCAATAAGAAATTCTTGCCTTCTTTGACTGGGGCTGATTGTTTTTGACTGGGCTTCTTTGAGAGTTTTCATCCTTCCCGCCCAGGCGGCGCGTCGCGATTTTAAAAACTATTCCCGGATCGACGGCTGGGATTGGCCTGCACGGGCCACAGTGGCCACCGCCCTAATGTTTCAAGCTTTTTGTGTGGGCGACTGCGACAGCGTCTGGATTATTGGAGGAGGCGATCCATCGATCGATCCATCCCCGAGCTCGCCACAGGTCTGATCGATCGAGCTCTGTGGCTCACATCGCCGCTCTCGCTTAGCGCCCTGTTTCTAGCGAGTTTCTCCATGGCGGAGGAAGAAATCCAGCCCCTGGTGTGCGACAATGGATCCGGGATGGTCAAGGTGCGCTCCTGGCGCGATTTCTTGTGGATTTTGATCCGGGGGGTGTGTTTTTGCAGGCTGGATTTGCCGGAGACGATGCTCCCAGGGCCGTGTTTCCCAGCATTGTGGGCCGGCCCAAGCACACGGGCGTCATGGTTGGAATGGGGCAGAAGGATGCGTATGTCGGCGACGAGGCGCAATCCAAGCGAGGTATCCTGGCATTGAAGTACCCGATCGAGCACGGGATCGTCACAAACTGGGACGACATGGAGAAGATCTGGCACCACACTTTCTACAACGAGCTCCGTGTGGCTCCGGAAGAACACCCGGTTCTTCTCACCGAGGCGCCGCTCAACCCAAAGGCGAATCGCGAGAAGATGACCCAGATCATGTTCGAGACCTTCAATGTCCCGGCCATGTACGTGGCAATCCAAGCAGTCCTTTCACTCTACGCGAGTGGACGCACTACCGGTATGGAGTTTTTTTTTTCCTTTGCTTGTTCTAGACAAGATGGTTGATGCGTGTTTCTTTTCTTCGTTGCTTGCGATAGACATGATGCTTCAAGTTGGTTCTACTTTTTTTTCTTCTCTCTAACACGTTGTATGATCGTGGTTTGTGATCAGGTATTGTTCTCGACTCGGGTGACGGTGTCACGCACACTGTTCCAATCTACGAAGGCTACTCACTGCCCCATGCAATCCTCAGGCTGGACCTTGCCGGTCGCGACTTGACTGACTCGCTCATGAAGATCCTGACGGAGAGAGGCTACACGTTCACCACCACGGCGGAGCGTGAGATCGTGAGAGACATGAAAGAGAAGCTGGCGTACGTCGCCCTGGACTACGAGCAGGAGATGGAGAGCTCCACGCACAGCTCCTCGATGGAGAAGACGTACGAGCTTCCGGATGGGCAGGTGATCACCATCGGCTCCGAGAGGTTCCGGTGCCCCGAGGTGCTGTTCCAGCCGTCTCTGATTGGAATGGAAGCCGCTGGTATCCACGAGACGACGTACAACTCGATCATGAAGTGCGACGTCGATATCCGAAAGGACCTCTACGGCAACATCGTCCTCAGCGGAGGCAGCACAATGTTCCCTGGCATCGCGGACCGCATGAGCAAGGAAATCACGGCACTGGCTCCCAGCAGCATGAAGATCAAGGTGGTTGCTCCTCCGGAGAGGAAGTACAGCGTCTGGATCGGAGGTTCTATCCTGGCTTCGCTCAGCACCTTCCAACAGGTACCACAACATTCTTTTGCTCGTTTTTCTTATCAGCCTTGTTTTTCTTTTTCTTTTTTCGCAGATGTGGATTGCAAAGTCCGAGTACGATGAGTCGGGTCCATCGATTGTGCACAGAAAGTGCTTCTAGCTTGAGGTTGGTCTCCAGGTTGCTATTTTTCCTTCCTTTTCGGTTCTCGGGTTATCTAGGCGCTCTAGATTTTGAAGTCTTGGCTCTTGAGGATCACGTGTCAAGTGTGCTTCATTGTTTGCCTTTGATTGACTATAAATATTTAGCTCTCTAGTCTTTAGTGTCCTCTATGGCGTTCCGTCGCTTTGCCAGTCGTGTGCTCGCGTCTAGGGTTTGTGGTGTCCGAGGGGCTAGTCTTCTTTCCAGGAGGTGCTTGGAGACACCAATTTTCTCCAGTGGGTCGTCGTCATGGAATGGGAAGAGTCAGAGGTTGGCAGCTCTGGGAGCTGCTGGAGTGTTCACATTTGCTTTGGTGGAGCTCGGATTCAATCAGGCTGCCCTTCTGGAGCAGGATGAACAGAAAAGGTACCTCAGTTGCTGGCATTATGGAGCTTTCACTGTATTCTCTGGATCGTGCAGTGTAGAAGCTTTAGTGACAACGAAGGAGGCTCGCAAGCTCGATGAATCTTTCATTTCGGAGCTGCAAGCCATCTTCGAGGTAAATAAAAATTTGTATGGCCAGTTTCTTATAGTTCTATCCAGGCCGAGAGAATTGCTTTTGATCCAGATGAAAGGTTCAACCATGGAAAGCCATGGAATACTTATCATCCCGTTGAACACATTCCCGACGTTGTGGTCTATCCAAGGTACAAATTAGTACGTTTTGCGAAAGAGTAAAAAGGCAAATTTCATTTTTGAAAGGTCGGCCGATGAAGTTCAGGCAGCTGTAAAGCTTTGCGCAAAATACAAGGTCCGCTTTCTTGTCAATGAATGTGTTTCGATATTTGGTGGATAGGTTCCAGTTGTTCCTTTTGGAGGGGCTACTTCTCTAGAGGGACAAACACTGACTCCCTCTGGCGGTGTTAGCATTGATATGCAGTTGATGAAGGTTTGGCTTCAATTGTTTCTGTCTTCTCCTAAGTTTTTCTTTGAACAGAAAGTAAAAGCTTTGCATATTGAAGATATGGATGTGGTTGTAGAGCCAGGACTCGGATGGATTGAACTGAACGAGTTTCTAAAACCTTACGGTTTATTTTTCCCACTAGATCCAGGTAAGTTTACGTTTCACTTGTATCCGAAATCCATTAGTTTATGTCAGGTCCGGGAGCTACAATTGGAGGAATGTGCGCAACCAGATGCTCGGGCTCGTTGGCAGTTCGGTAATAGTTTTGACAGTCCAGTTAGTGCTCATTTCCTGAATCACGTGATTATTAGTTATGGCACAATGCGGGACAACGTGATATCGTTGAAAGTATGCTTGGTTGGGCATTTAGTTTTCTTGTATTGATGGTTTTCTGTACTGTAGGCAGTGGTGGCAAATGGAGACCAAGTTAAATCGGGTTCTCGTGCGCGCAAAAGTGCCGCCGGGTAGTTTCTTAGATGTACTTCGACTGTTGATGGGCTAAGCTTGATCTCCCAGGTATGATTTAACGAGACTTATGATTGGAAGTGAAGGAACGCTGGGTGTCATTACGGAGGTTACGCTGCGTCTTCAAAAAATTCCCGAAGCCTCAATTGTAAGCTTCAGAGCCTGTTTGAATTATTCACAGTGTTTGCTGCAGGTGGCCATGTGCAACTTTCCTTCCGTAAAAGATGCAGCTGATGTTGCGATAGCTACGATGCATTTGGGAATCCAGGTATTCATGCATTCTCCAACTTAAGCGAAGTGGCCTTCCAATCTCTGCAGGTGTCACGGGTTGAGCTCTTAGATGAGATGCAAGTAAAAGCAATTAATCTTGCGAATGGAAGGAATTATCCTGAACAACCAACGCTTATGTTCGAGTTTATAGGAACAGGTATTCTTCTACTTAATGTTTAGTTATGAATCCTAAGAATTTCTCATTGCAGAAAACTATGCTCTCGAACAGGCAAAGCTTGTCCACAAAATTGTTGTGGAACATAGTGGTTCTGATTTTGTCTATTCAAACACGCCGGAAGAAAAGGAGGATTTGTGGAAAGTAAGCAAGAACTTTGTTCAGCCGCGTTTATTCCGACTCGTTTGAAATTTCAGGTTCGGAAAGAGGCTTTCTGGGCTTGTTCGACGTTGAGACCTGGAGCAGAGGCCATGGTCACTGTATGTGGAGCTTTCTTTTCTACTTTGTATTGAATTGTCAATTGCCACAGGACGTCTGTGTTCCTTTGTCGAGGCTAGCGGAGTGCATCTCCACGTCAAAAGCAATACTTGACGCGTCCTCACTTCCAAGGTAAGGAAATTCCCGGATATATTTGGTTCAAAGGTTTGCTTTTGCAGTGCTATAATTTCACATGCTGGCGATGGGAACTTCCACACAGTGATCCTGTTTGATCCGGCCAACAAAGACGAGGCCGAAGAAGCTCAGCACTTATGTCATAAGATGGTGCACATAGCTTTAGCGATGGAAGGTTGAGAGCTCAGGAAATTGTATTTGTTTTTTATCATATTTGTTTATCTTTCAGGAACTTGCACTGGGGAACACGGAGTAGGCGTCGGCAAGATGAAGGTATGTATACCTTCCTTCTTAGCACGAGTGGCTGAAGTTCGTGTGCAGTACTTAGAGGCCGAGTTTGGAAGCGAAGCGCTGTCTGCCATGGGAAAGATTAAAAAGTGCCTCGATCCTGATAACATTATGAATCCTGGGAAAATTATTCCGCGACAATTCTGCTGCTAAGGCGTCTGTGGTACAAGGAAGTTTTATTATAATGTCAATAACTTCGTTTCTTTTCTGAGTGCTCGCCCTAGGTTATAGAATGCAAGAAGGCGCACCTTCGAGAGCGTAAGTCCAACAATGCATTTTCATGGTCGCTACGCCTCTGCGGTGCTTCACTCTAGGACAAGCTGTAAGTGTGCTGCTGCTTTTCCTTTGCGTTTAAACAGTGCGCTTGTTAAAGCAGTGGAAGATCTGGAGATGGAGTTACTTCACTCCCGAGCTCGCATCAACCACCAGAAGAAGAGACTGCGGCATTGCCATCGCTGCTCTAAAGGCATGCGGCAGCTCCATGGATCTCACACTTGGGCAGTTCGTCCACGCAGATACCGTCCAGTTTGGTTTGAGCTGCGACATTTACGTGGCCACAACTCTCGTCGACATGTACGCGAAGTGTGGAAGTATGATCCAGGCACAGCGAGTTTTTGACGCAATGCAGTCACGTAACGCAGTCGCTTGGACAGCTTTGATCCTCGGGTATGCCGAAAATGGCCAGGGAGAAGTTGGCTTGGAGATCTTGTCGAAGATGAGAGACTGCCGCTGCCAGGCCGACTCAACGACGTTTCTCGCGGCTCTCAAGGCATGCGGCGACATAGCTGCCAGGGAACAGGGCCGGAAGATCAATGGCAGGCTTGTGCGAGAGGAAAGCTTGACGAAAGCTTGCGAAATCCACGCGCGAGCTGCCGAGGCTGGCTGTGACTCCCACCCCTTCGTTGCCAATAGCTTGATAAGTTTATACTCGAGGTGCGGAGGAGTGGAGCAAGCTCTCTCGGTTTTTGAGAAGCTCGAGAAGAAGACGGTGGTCTCGTGGACTGCTCTCATGCTGGGTTGCGTCGAGAACGGCGAAGCCGAGCTCGCGCTGGATCTCTTCTCGAGGATGGACTCGGTCTCGGATGCTCAGGCCTACGTCGCGGCTCTCACAGCCTGCGCGAGCGTGTGCGAGAAGTCGAGGCTGGATGGAAGCTCTAAACTCCAGGCACTGGAACGAGGCATGGCGATACATTCCTCTGCCGCTCGCAGTGGCCTCGACTCCACCACCAACGTCTTCGTCTCCAACACTCTGGTGGACATGTACTCCAAGTGTGGAAGCTTGCTGGACGGCCGCGCGGTGTTCGACCGCATGAGCTCCCGGGACGTGGTGTCGTGGAACGCGCTGCTGCTGGGATACGCCGAGAACGGCGAGCCGGGCTTGGCTCTGGAGCTCTTCGAGGCCATGAAGCAGCATCACCATCCTACTGCTCGGACGTTCCTCGCGGCTTTCATCGCCTGTGGCAACTTAGCGGCACTGCAACTCGGGAGGAGCATCCACAACGAGCTACGCAGGAACCATCGCCAGCTCCTCGACAGCGATCCTTTCCTGGGGAACTGCATCATCGACTTCTACGGGAAGTGCGGCAGCATGGCCGAGGCCAGGGAGGTGTTCGAGGCGATGGTGAAGAACAGACGCTGGAGGAAGGACGTGGTGACTTGGGGGGCTCTCATGGCCGGTTACAGCCACCAGGGGGACACTTCCAGCGTGCTCGAGCTTTTCGAGAAGATGGTGGCGGAGGAGAGGATCCAGCCGGACGCCGTGACGTTCCTCTCGATCCTCACGGCTTGCAGCCATGCCGGGCTGGTCGACCAAGGCAGGCACTACTTTGCGGAGATGAGCTCGCGGTATGGAGTGACGCCCGTCCAGGAGCACTACCACTGCCTGGTGGATCTTCTCGGGCGATCAAACCGGCTGGACGAAGCGCTGGCGGTGGTGAGAGCTATGCCGTTTCCAGCCAGCGCCATCACCTGGAGCACGCTGCTGGGAGCTTGCAAGAAGTGGAAGAACGCCGAGGTGGGAAAGTTTGCGTTTGATTCGTGGCAAAGGCTGGACGAGAAGAACGCCACTGCGTATTTGCTCATGGCAAGCACCACCTCTTAGAACAATTGTTTGCTAATTAATTCTCGACCGTCAGATCTCCCACGACTCAATCAACACCGTTCTCCACCGTGATTAAAATTCTGGTACGTTTGCAAATTCTCGACCGTTAGATCTCGCGCTCTTCAGTTGCAAAGGATATTCTTTCTCGTGGCAAAGAATATTCTGTTTAGACACGTGACAAGAAAGGTCGGTGTGCCGTTAGTATATAAATCGTGGCTATGGCGCCACAGCTATGGCGCGCGCGCGAGGTAATGTGGAGGATATTGATGTGGAATTGACTTGGCATAGCTAAGGTATGTCGGGATCTCGCCTGGTTCCCTTGGAATCTGCCACATCTCATCGCAATTGCTTCTCAAATTCCCCCTTCTCGCTTCTTCTTCCTTGAATTTCCTTTCTCGCGGTGGAAATTTTCTTCCCCGCTTTTGATCTGAGAAAGGATGTATGGCTATGGCTGTACGAGGATAGGGGAGGCCCTGCCCTTACGGGTGCGCTCACGGGGCGGGCCTCCAAATCGAGTGGAATAAAATCGGCTCTTTGTGTCGTGGGAGGGCCGCCAGAGTGAGAATTGGTGCTTGGCGGCCCTCCCCCTTGGTGTCGTGTGTCGCCCACTCTCTCTTTTCCCCAGTGGTTCCATGGCTCTGGCCGGATCAAGCAAGGAGTTGGGCGATCTGGAACTTGGGCGAGTTCTAGAATTGATCTAACGAACTTGGGCGAGTTCTAGAGTGGATCTAGAATCGTTTTGAAGCAGCGAGGACATCTTTCGCGTGGAATGGAGAAGGGGAGCGTTAGATCCACTGGTAAAAACTATTTCTTTGGAATTGTTTTCTCAAGAGCAAAAGAAATTGGAGCTTTCTTTGAATGAGTTTCTCAAATGCGTTTGATGTTACCGCAGGCCTCTTCGATCGATCGGTGGGGATTGCGAAAGCAAAGACTTTGACCAAAATCTCGGCCAGAGAACCAAAGTTTGACCTTTCAACCATTAGAAAATAAAAATCTGAGATGCTTTCAATCTTGGCCGTCGGCGCCCGTGAACCGCGGATAGTGACAGTTGGTATCAGACGGTTGCGATTTCGCGCCGGGAAGAGACGCGCAAACAAAATGGAAGAGAAAAGAAAGAGAAGAGCGATGCGATGAAGATGATAGCATTGGCATGCCACGAGAAGAATGCCAATCACAGCAGCAGCATGGTGGATCGTTACTGGACATCGTCGCTCGTGATCTGCCCCTTCGTCGACTTCGCATTGGCCTGCCTCGTCCTGGCGATGGCGACGCTGTTCCTCGTCTCGAGAATGACGCAGCTTTGCAGCAGCCTGGCCTCGTGCTGGTCGGGAACAACAGCCGCGGAAGAACACGATCGCTGCCAAGAGCACCACTCGTTGTCCCAGGACAATGATCACCTGCAGCAACAAGTTACTCGCTACGAATCGCAGGAGAGCACGCGAAGTTGTCTCACCTGTGATCGAAGCGGAAGGCTGGAGGGGATTTGTATCAGCTGCATCATGCGGGTGCTGGGACCTCGAGCGCAGGAATCCAGCGGCGGGAGTGGTGGGTTGTTCTTGCAGGAGATCATGATGGACGCGGCGGCAGCGGCAGATGGTAGGAACCTGGTCACTGTTTCATCTGCTCCGGTTTGTTCGTCGAGCGATGGCTTAAGGCGGCACGTAGAACTGCTGGTGGACAAGCTCCAGCTGAGGATCACGTCGTGTCCGCCGGATCGAGAGCAGCAGAAAGAGGCTCCTTCTCGGACTTCTTCTCGAGCTTCTCCTTCTCGGTCTTCTCCTTCTCGTTGCGAGTGCTTGAGGCGGGAGGGAGATGGCAAGGAGAGGTGTGACTGCTCAAAAGGCCCTGTTTGCAAGGGAGCTTGCGAGTGCTGGAGGACGCGGGAGCGGGAAGACCATGGCGAGAGCTTGGATCCACACCAAGACGAGAGCTTTTCATCGACTGGTGATCGTCCCGCCAATGCGGAAATCCACCAGGAACAGGAAGTTGACGGAAAGGAGGCATTGAAAGGTGAGAGGGAGGAGATCGAGAGCCTCTACTACGAGCTGGAGCAAGAGAGGAACGCGGCGGCGGTGGCTGCCAATGAGAGCATGGCCATGATCACGAGACTCCAGGAAGAAAAGGCGTGCTTGCTCATGGAGGCGCGGCAGTACCAAAGGATGGTGGAGGAGAAGGCTTTCCACGACCACAAGGCGATCACTATACTCAAGGAGATGCTGCTCAAGAGGGAGGCCGAGAAGACGGTGCTGGAGGAGGAGATTGAGATCTACAGGCGATCGAGCAGGAGTGGCAATGGGCAAGAGCACAGGGAGGAGGAGGCCCCGGGTGGTGGTGGAAGTGGCGGCGAGAAGAGGAAGAGCTCGAGCGAGGAGGAGACGTCTGCCACCATCAAGGCCGTGGAGGAAGAGCGTCTCTCGGTGCTGGAGCGAGTAAAGAGGCTGGAGCAGCAGCTCCAGCTCTTGCGAGGGAACGAGAGCACTCACCCGGGCCACCGAAGATCATCCAGGGCCGGATAGCATCGATCGAAAGTCCTGGAGAGAAAATTTTCCTCGTCAGGAAGGAATGCTATGGAATTTCTTGCTTACCCGGAAAGAAGGCTCTCGGTAGAGATCGTCCGGAAGGAATGCTATGGAATTTCTTGCTTGCCTGGAAAGAAGGCTCTCGATCGAAGGTCCTGGAGAGAAATTTAACCTCGCAAGGAAGGACTGCTATGGAATTTCTTGCTAGAAGGCTCCCGATCGAAGGTCCTGGAGATCGTCAGAAAGGAATTTCTTGCTTGTTCGGTCCTGGAGAGATTGTCAGGAAGGAATGCCATAGAATTTCTTGTTTAATGCTATGGAATTTCTTGCTTACCCGGAAAGAAGGTGAGATCTTTGTACCGGAGCCACAAATTTCTTGATCGATCCCAAACCAGGAGCGCAAGAAATCCTGGAATCGAGAAATGCGAGTCTGCCATAGGTTTGCCATGGAAAATGAGAGATCTACCTCACGGGAAATCGAGGAGTCGCTCGCGCCATAGCCACTCCACCTGGACAAAAACCCTAAAACCCTAATATTTTGCTCACACCATTTGGCTGTTCGTGTTCTTTCTAGCCGGCAATGGCGTTGGCACTGGCCAAGGCCTCGCGCCACAGATTCCTCCTAGCAGCGGGCTTGCGATTCTCCACTAGCGCGCCAGCTCCACCCTCCCCTGTGCCTCCGCCTCCATCGCCCGCGCAATCCAGCGCCGAGCAGCTCAGATCGGGGACTGTGGCCGCGTCCCTGGCCGCGGAGAGAGCGATCCGGGAGGGCTCGCGGACGGATTGGAGCCGGCAGGAGATCCAGGAGATTTACGACTCGCCGCTGCTCGATCTTCTCTTCCATGGGGTAAAAGCTTTCTAGACATGCATGGCAAAAGGTTCTCATCGCTAGTTTTCTTCTTTGTTTCTTCTTCTTCGCGACAATGTAGGCTCAAGTCCATCGCCATGCTCACAATTTTCGCGAAGTTCAGCAGTGTACGCTGTTATCGATCAAGACTGGTGGATGCTCTGAGGATTGCGCCTATTGTCCACAGTCTTCCAGGTACAACACTGGCGTGAAGGGACAAAAGCTCCTCAGTGAAGACGTTGTTCTTGACGCTGCTAGAAAGGTGAAAGAATTTCTTTTTTCTTTGTGGCTGGATCGTTTCATACTTTTTTTTTCTACGCAGGCTAAAGATGCTGGTAGTACCAGATTTTGCATGGGCGCGGCTTGGAGAGACACAGTGGGAAGAAACTCGAACTTCAATCAAATACTCGACTACGTGAAACAGATCAGGTGTGGATCATTCACTCTTTCAAGAATTCACTTTCGATTCTTTTTGGCTATGCGAGCAGAGGTATGGGAATGGAAGTTTGCTGCACGCTTGGAATGCTCGAAGAAAAGCACGCCCAAGCTCTCAAGGAGGCCGGCTTAACAGCCTATAATCACAACTTGGACACGTCAAGGGAGTATTATCCAAACGTTATAACCACGAGGAGCTACGACGAGCGCTTGAAAACTTTGGAAATCGTCCGAGACGCGGGCATAAGCGTGTGCTCAGGCAAGCTTTCTCTTTTCCTTCCGCTTTTTTTTCTCCATGAAACTAGCTAAAACTATGGCTGAAACATCAGGTGGCATCATCGGTTTAGGAGAGCAAGTAGAGGATAGAATAGGCTTGCTACACACTCTTTCGACGCTCCCTCAGCATCCAGAGAGTGTCCCAATCAACGCTCTAGTTGCTGTCAAAGGCACTCCTTTGGAAAATCAAAAGGTAACTCTTCTCGTTCCATCAAAGCTTTAAACTCGAGAGTTTCTCTCCTTGTGTTTCTACAGCCGGTTGAGATATGGGAGATGGTCAGAATGATCGCCACAGCTCGGATTTGCATGCCCAAGGCGATGGTGAGGCTCTCGGCGGGGCGAGTAAAGTTCTCTCAGCCGGAGCAGGCACTGTGCTTCATGGCTGGCGCAAACTCCATCTTCACAGGCGAGAAACTTCTGACCACTCCAAACAACAGCTTTAGCGAAGACCAGCAGATGTTCCAGCTCCTGGGACTCATTCCAAAGCCGCCAAGCTTTGGAATTGAGATCCAGCGAGATCAAAAGTGTGGATGTGCTCAACAAAACTCTGGAGACCTTCTCCAGCAGGCGGTATAACATTGTGATGAGGAAGAAGATATAGTTCCATGATAAGCAATTGAAACAAAAGAGCCTTGTCTCGATCGAGGAAGAACTATCCATTATTTTCTTTGCTCTTTATGTACACTGCTAATCACTGGCAAAAAAACTATAGCTACGTATATACTTTCTTACTTGGACGAGACCCAACCTCGAAAAACTTGTGTTCTCACGGAGCCATGATCGAGTCTATCGTATACGAGAGCGAGCTCGCCATATTACTCTGCAAAACCAGGCTTTGAAGAGTTTCCATGATGTTATACTCGGGGTCTAGCTTTCGCTGCCATCCCTGCGCAAAGTGGTCCACGAATTTGCATCCCTTGAAGCTAACTCTTTAAAGAACGCCTACCTCTAGAACGAGTGTCGTCACTATCACAGTGCAAACATCGCCATCGATGTTTACTTTGTGCCTGCGTACGCGCTCCAAGAGCTCTTGTATGCAGTCGCCCGTGTGCAGTACAGCGGAATCCATCGCATTCCAGTCTTTGAAACAGTCCTCGACTTCCTGTTGCAAATGAGGAAACGATGAGGATACAAAACGATCAAACCAACGAGCTAGAACTTACTCTGACAAAACCTTTTGGATCGGGGCAAGTTTGCAGTTCCGAGAACTGGAGAGCGCACTCAGCAGTCTTGCGGCCGTCTCGCATTGCGATCCCCTTGAAAAACTCGAGGAGCGTGCGCCGGTCCTTATTCGAGAGCTCTGCTGTCATGCCGACGTCCAGAAAAACTAGATGCGGATGCGATCGAAACAGTCCCTTGCCAGGCACGGGATTAAATCGCTCCATTCGCACCAGGATGTTGCCAGGATGCAAGTCTGCATGGATGAAGTTGTCCACCTGTGAAATGCCAAAACAGTGAGAAAAGAAAAGAAAAGAAAAGAAAAGATAACCAGAGAAGACGTACCAGCAGCATCTTGAGCAGCGTATGCGTGCCAATGTGTGCCAACGCGCTGTTGATGTGGGATCTCTTGGGAGAATCCACAAAGCGCGATACGCTCTCCCCGCGCTCATACGTCTCCACGAGCACGGCCGGGTGGACGAGGGGATACAGCGGCTTGGGAAAAGATACGTCCTTCCAGCTCCGAAAGTTGTAGAGAAAGCGGCTCAAGTGCGCAGCTTCTCTCGCGAGATCGACCTGCGTCAGCATGAACACTGCGAACTGCTGCACGCTGTCCTCCAGCCTCAGATACCGCAAGCCGGAGAAGTGACTGCACGCTTTCACCACCCAGTTGATGAGAATGAAATCACGCCTTATCACTTCTGTGACTCCCGGATGCCGGACTTTGACAGCCACCGTCACCGGCTTCTTCCCCTGGCCCCTCAAAACCGCGCGGTGGACCTGAGCAACACTCCCGGACGCCAGCGGCTCCTCCTCAAAGTCCTCAAACAGCTCCTCGATCCTCTTCCCGAAAGCGCCCTCCACAGTTTTCCGGGTCTGCGAGAAGCTGTGCGCCGGAGCTTTCGAGTGGAGCTTGGACATCGTCTCGCACACGTCCTTTGGAAAAAGGTCCGGCCTTGTGGCTGCCCACTGCCCCCACTTGATAAAAGCGGCCCCTGCTCGCTCCAGACTGCTGTGAAAAAGCTCCAGCCAGAAAAGCCGCAGCTTGGCGTCTGACGGGTCGGCAAATGGAGCTACAGCGAGCGCTGGAGCGAAAACCACCACCAAGTAGAGCGCTCGAAGCAGCAGCATCATTCCTTCCACCAGCGACGAAAAGATCCACAGCACGTAACTAGGCTGGATATCGGAGTGGTACGAGAGAGGAACACACGTCGGAGCCTCGGACTCGGCCACCAGCCTGCGCATGAGCGTAGCTTCGCCGACCAGAAAAGCTGCGATCCTGGGACTAAACTGCGAGCGAACGACTGCCAAGCTCATCGTCCCCACGACTTTCCATAGTGGATGATGGTAGTAGCATCTTCCCAGCCAAGAATTCTTCCATGCTCTCCCTGTGCTACTCCCGAGCTTCCACCCGGCAAAGCCAGTCCCTTTCTTCTTCCAGCCATCCTTGAATTCTACTCCTGTTCTAGAGAAACCAAAGACTATCCTATTCCCGCCGTGTCTAGCCAGATTCCTCGAGAGTACCTGGAGAGGACTGGCAGCTGCTTCTTGCGAAAGAGTTCCATAGTGATGGTGTCCATATCCAATCCGAGAAAAACTGGAATTGGACAGAGTTCTACCAAAAAAAAGCATCAAAATCGAGTCTTTAGGTGAAAATGCGGCAAGAATCCATACCTGTGGCAAGCTCTTCTCTCACAGGCAGCTCGGGCAGCCCCGGAGAATAGCCTGTTCATCCTCTGCGCGAGGCCGATGGATCATACTCTATCCAAAATACCGCTGCTCGCGATCAGAATCCGGGAAATGTAGCGCCAAATCAATCCACCGGGCGATCGATTCCACGAGCCACGCGCCACACGCTCAAACCCTAGAATGCCCCGGGTTTAGGTTTGCTTGGCACGTGGAAGGTTCGAATCCCGCGAGTTTTGCACACTGCTAAAGGGATTCGATCTCTGGATCGGGCAAGAACCAAAGAAACCCTAAAAAGTTCGTTGTTTGATAGGAGATGATGAAGTGAAGGCCATGCTTGGTGAGTACCAGACAAGAACACACAGCAACAGTGATAATTGAGCCTCTTTTTACTTCACGCAACGATATCTCTCTCGATTCCATCATCGATCGAATTGCAAGCCATTTCTTTTCCGAAATAAAATATTCGTCATTTTTCTTGTTACAAAAATACTTCGGGAAAATACAAAGCCAACGAACGCTTGCATCAATCGATGAAATTTTTGGTGAAACGTTTGCATTGCACGCACAGCGTAGGACTGTCCTTGTCAACGAAGGGGGAATTGACCAACTTGGGTGATCCTGGGTTCGAATCCTCTTTGCGCAAAGGTGAAAAAAATGTCACGTTTTTAAAGCTTTTTCTTACTGTCATAACATTTAACTTTGACTCAGAAATCCTGTGGACAAGGCATGTGCAAGAGCATGTAAAAATTTGGCTAGAGAAATGCAAGCCCAAGTTCCTGGGAGTGTGACATGACCAATGTTGACAAGATTGGGATTTTACTGGCCTTGTATGACATGGGGCAAGGGGAATTTTGAGGGAAGAACATAAAAATTGGAGGGGAAAAGAGTGGGAAATGTGGAGATAGGGCTTTGGATTCTATAGCCCAAGATTTAGATATGCAATGGTGGCTTTCTTTTGTTGTTTTGTGTTGGTAGGCTTTCAGTGTCAGGGGTGCTGGTACTGCCTTATGACATAGGCATGCTAAATCCGGAAGGGTCCGGCTTATGACATGCGGCGCTGACTAAATCCCCTGATTTTCCCCTGGTGTTCAAGGTAAAAACGCACAAAGTTACTCCATTTCTATCTCCATTCATTCACGGCTGCTACTTTGCTGCATCAAATGCTGTAAAACCCACGCCTTGGGCAAGAACGAGCAACGCTCGGTAAGAAAAAATGGAAAATTTCAAGTTTTTCTGCTTAAAAATCGTTTTTTCCTGCTTTTCTTTTTGGAGGTGGAGGGTTTTAAGCTGGGTTCATGTTTGTTTAAGCTTTGATAGAGGCGAGAGACAGTGATCGACAACAAAGGGGGCTTTCAGAAGCTGGGCAGCAGCGCGCAGTGCAGTGGCAGTGGCCAGTGTGTGGCGATCAAATCAAACGCAGCGAAAAGAATCGAGCTAAACAGCCCATGAAGAAAACAAAGGAAGGAGGAGGAAGAAGATATCGTATGCTCTAAAACTCCAATGCGTGCCTTGTGTGTGTTGTGATAGTTTTCCTTTGTTTCTAGCTAGCGAGCTTCTTCTAGTTACATAGTCTTCTTCATAGATCTTATTTTCTCTCTTATCTTTTGTTCCTTTTTTTCTTTTTTTCTGCCTGTGGGTTTTGTCTATTCTTCCTTTCTCCGCAGTGTTCCAAAATCAGTGCAATGCGTTTCTGGCAATAGCAGCGTTCGTGAATGCCAAAGATCTGTCCCAAAGGCAGAGTTTTTTCTCCTTTTTTTCTTATCTCCCTGGTCGATGGTGTCACCACCACTTGCGAAAAGAAGGGTCTAGCAGACCACCCAGTGCTACATTCTCAAATCTAAGCTTCTATTCCAAAGTGGAGATTATTTTTCCCTCTAGCTTTGCAAGCTTGCTAGCTATGGTGGTCGGTTAAGCTCTCCGTGTTGGTATTAACTTGTGTGTGTTTTTCTTGCCTTCCTCTTTCCGCCCTTTGCTTTGCAGTGGACAGAATTTTTTTTTCCCCTCTCTCCCTCTTTTTTTTGCTCCTTTTTCTCTTCCACTTTATCTTTGAGACTCCGCTGCTGGGCTTTATTACTCTCCTCTCCTTCCTGGTTTGAATGCGCGAGAAGGAAATGAGAGTGAATGTGAATGGGCTGCTAGAAGAATGAGAGACCCATAGATTCAAAGGGGCTTCTTTGGTTGCGAGAGATCTGCGAGAGACGAGGAAGAACACTCACTCAAATCTCCATTTTTTGTGCGCTATCGCAGGTCGCTGTTTGAGGTACCACTGGAAGAAACAAGAAAAAATGGAGCCTTTGTGAGCGCGCGAGTGTGACAATCGTGGTGGTGTGGGTGCCAAGGTAAGCATCAATCCCACTGTACGTGGGTGGTTCTCTCATTCATTGTCACAATGCGTTAGAAGGAAGAACTAAGAACTGAGAGCTACAAAGACCCACCATAGCCGCCCATGCCTTCGATCACACAGGCCCAGATGGTGGAATCTACGTGTGGATCTTTGCTGCGGGAGCTCCAGGTACGAGAGGGCTGTAGCGATGGATTCGTGATGGGTTTGTTCTTCTTGCAGCACATATGGGATGAGATTGGAGAGGATGACACAGAGCGGGATAGAATGCTAATGCAGCTGGAGCAAGAGTGTCTCGAGGTGTATAGGAGGAAAGTAGATCAAGCCAGCCATGTCCGGGCAAAGCTCCGCCAAGCTCTAGCCGACTCCGAGGCCGAGCTCCAGACTCTTCACTCGGCTCTCGGAGAACATCCAACTTTCACTCGAGTGAGTCCTTCTGTGTTCTTTGGCAAAAGTGTGGTTTTGTTTTTCATTCTTTTGCTTTTTCCGCTGTTTCTTCGTGCTCGTGTGCTTATCTTGGAACTTTGCTCCCAGGGTGAGAAGAAAGCCTCTGGAACTTTGCGGGAGCAGGTTAAAGGAGTGGCTCCTCAGCTGGAGGAGCTGCGAGTGAAGAAGGACGAGCGGCTTAAGCACTTCAACGAAATCTCGTCGCAAATTCAGAAGATATCCGGCGAGATCGTTGGCTCCGCGACTTCCCAGCTCGCAAACGGAGACATTAAAGCGGAGTTTGAGGATTTGTCGCAGCGGAGGCTCGAGGAGTACCAAGCCCAGCTCCATGCACTCCAGAAAGAAAAGGTTGGCTAGCATTGGATTTCCAAAGAGCTTAACGAGAGTTTTTGCCTTTCACCGCAGAGCAACAGGCTTCACAAGGTTCTCGAGTACGTGAACAGCGTGCACGACCTCTGTGCCGAGCTGGGCCTCGAGTTCTTCAAGATCATCACCGAAGTTCACCCGAGTCTGGATGACTCCCACAGCGTGCAGTCGAGGAGCATCACCAACGAGACGCTGGATCGGCTGGCCAACACGATCCAGTCACTCGAGGAAGAAAAAAAGCGCCGGATCAAAAAGGTCTGGATTTCTTTGAAGTTCATGGAAGTGATCGTATGATCATCTTTTCTTTTGCTTCTAGCTGCAAGAACTTGGGACGAAGCTCGTGGATTTGTGGAATCTCATGGAGACACCAAAGGAAGAACAGCAGCTGTTTAGACACCTCACTTGCAACGTCGCGAGCTCCGAGTGTGTTCCTGGATCTCTTGCGTTTGACATAATCGAAGAGGTACTAGCGTAAACAATCTAGACAAGAACTTTCAACTCAAGATCATCGTTTCTTCTCGTTTGTTCTTGTAATGATCTAGGCGGAGGTGGAAGTCGAGAGGCTGGAGCGTCTCAAAGCGAGCAAGATGAAAGAGCTGGTGATGAGAAAGAGGCTGGAGCTCGAGGAGATTTGCCGGCAGACTCATATGGAGCCGGATAACAGCACCTCGCAAGATAAAACCAATGCTCTCATCGATTCTGGTAGAGTATTTGTCTCGTTTTCTCTCTCTCGTTGCTTGATGAAGTTTCACGACAGGTATGGTGGATCCATCGGAGCTCTTGTCAAGGATAGAAGAACAGATTGCTTACGCGAAAGAAGACGCTGTTAGCCGGCGAGACATTCTTGACAAGATCGAGAGATGGATGGGAGCTTGCGAGGAGGAGAGCTGGCTGGATGACTACAACAAGGTGTGTTCTTCTAGTCTCTATACTCCCAAGAGCTTGAAAAAGTTCACAATGTGGTTTTTCTAGGATCAAAATCGGTATGCTGGTGGTAGAGGCGCTCATCTTAATCTCAAGCGTGCCGAGCGAGCTAGAGTCACCGTTACGAAGCTCCCTGGTAGAAAAAAAAACGTTTTTTTTTCGCTTGTTTGTGTTAAGTGCATTGATCGATCTCGCTGCACAGCTCTTGTGGAGTCTTTGATTGCAAGGACGAGGTCTTGGGAGGAAGAAAGAAGCCAACTTTTCATGTACGACGGGGTAAGTTCTTCCAACTTCGAACTTTGTTTCCAAGCTTTCTGGAAATTTTCCATTCCTTCGCAACTCCTTGTTTCAATTTTTGTATAGATGCTTGCTCTAAAAGAATGTTTTTTTTCTCTCTTTTTTGTTCCACAGGTGAGATTACTGGCAATGCTGGAAGAATACAACCTCTTGAGGCACGAAAGGGATGAAGAGAAGCGGCGAATGAGGGTACGCAAAACTTTCTCGTCACCAGTGCTCTCCATTTGATCGCTCCCCATCGGTTCTCTTCCAGGATCAAAAGAAGCTCCAAGACCAACTTCTCACCGAGCAAGAATCCATCTTCGGCTCCAAGCCCAGCAGCACGCCTCGAAGCAGCAGCATCAAAAAGGCCCAGCCCCGGAGCAATGGGATGATGAGTAGAAGGCTCTCCCTGGGCGGAGCTCTCCTCCAGCCCGTGAGCCCCGAGACCCCTCGCACAAATGGGCACCGGCTAAGCACTCCGGGAGGAAACAATCGCAGGGATTCCAGGCCTCTCGCCACTGTCCCTCTAAATTTTGTCGCGGTGAGCAAGGACGACAGCCACAGCTCTCATTCCTTCCCATCGGTTGCGAGCTCGGATCCCAATTCCCCGCAGTCCAAGTAGACCAGTTCCCCTGTTCTTCGTTCTTCTTGGTTTTAGGGTTTATCCTCTTGTCAGTTTTTAACTGCTTTCGGTGAAATCTCCATCTCGCCGGACTCGAGCCTGGGACCAGTGAAACCCCTCCTTAGGGTTTATAAAGTTTTATTCTCTTCCTCGCGGGCGATGGCGATGGCGTCCCCGTCTTGCTCGGTCCGGATTCTCACCGGCGTCTGGCGCGATAGGAGCGGACGATTCTCTCGCAAGGTGCGAAGGATCCCGCATTGCTTCAGCAGCAGCGCCAGCACCGCCAGCAGCACCGAGGTTTCTCGGATTTCCAGGATTTCCAAGAATGCTGGCGATGCAGGCGAGGATTCGGCATTGGCATCGGGCAGGGACGTGCGGGGATTGCGCCTGAAGAAGGTAATACCGGTGTTTGTGCTGGAGGTGAAAATTTTACTCGATCCAGGTGGAGGAAATGCGAGGCCTAGGCATCGAGCCTTATGCGTATTCCTGGAATCGGACACACAAAGCTACGCAGCTCCAGGAGAAATACGCTGACTTACCCGCAGGAGGGGTGGCGGATTCGGACGAGGATCGTGTGTCTGTGGCTGGCCGGATTTTTGCTCGCCGAGCGTTTGGAAAGCTCGCTTTCTTGGGAATCCGAGATGATTCGGCTTCTATCCAGGTACCGATCTTTCATGGTTGCGACTTATTTCTATTGTCTTTCTTCCAGCTCTATTGTGACAAGGCAAAACTTGAGAGTTTCACTCAATTAAAATCCACGGTTGATATTGGTGATATTGTCGGCGCCACAGGAACTTTAAAACGAACTGAAAAAGGTGTGTATACTTTTCTGGCAGTGAAAAGATTGAAGAACTGAGCTGCATTGTTCTTTTTCCTTAGGAGAGCTCTCCGTATATGTGGATAACCTGGTGATTCTTACGAAATCAATCCTTCCATTACCCGAGAAGTGGCACGGCCTAACAGACATTGAAAAGCGATACCGTCAGAGGTTTCTGGGTGGGCTTTCTCCTTTCTGTAAGCTGACTAATCATAGAAATGTCTTCCAGGTATTTGGATATGATAATGAATCCCGAAGTAGCTGGTGTATTCCGAGCCCGTGCAAAAGTGAGTACTTAAACATTGCTCCTTCTTTCATTGTCGCTGCTCCAGGTTGTTTCAGTTATTCGCAGGTTTGTCGAAGATCTTGGATTCCTCGAGATTGAAACTCCGATTTTACAGGTGTGCTCCCAGTTTACCAATGCGGATGATATTTTCTTACTGCATTCTATGCAGGGGGCGGCTGGAGGAGCAGATGCCAGACCATTCATAACTCATCATAATTCATTGGAACGGGATCTTTTCTTGCGCATTGCTACTGAGCTACATTTAAAGCGTATGCTGGTCTGTGCACCATCGCTTACGGGAAAGCCTTCAGCTTACGGATTGCCCTGTAGGTTGGAGGTTTTGAAAGGGTCTACGAGCTTGGCCGCATCTTCAGAAATGAAGGAATCTCTACGCGTCATAATCCTGAGTTTACGTCCATAGAGGTAAGTAATCTTGTTACTCCCTCTCAGTTAAGAATTTACAATTCAGATATATCAAGCATATGCTGACTACAACGATATGATGGCTTTGGCCGAGGAGCTCGTTACAAAATGTGCCGAAGCCATCTTCGGAAACGCAAAGCTACTCTATCAAGTATGTCTACTTTGTGTCGTTCACATACCTTACCTTATTTCCATTTCAATTGCCAGGGAACAGATATATCGCTAGAAAGACCATGGAAGCGGGCTAGCATGCAGTCACTGGTTCAGGAGGCCACTGGAATCGACTTTAGTGCTTTCGGCAGTGATCTTTCGGCAGCAAAATCGGCGGCTTTGTCAGCATTATCACCACGGAAAGACGAATCTCTCCAAACTGTTATTGCAAACTGCGCAACAGTCGGAAACGTTCTAAATGAGGTGCACAGTTACTTTCTTCGTCTCCGTCGGTTTGTAAACGTAATGATGTCGGTGGCTCAGGTGTTCGAAGCAGTCGTGGAGAAAACACTAATACAGCCAACGTTCGTCACTAATCACCCGGTCGAAGTTTCTCCCCTTGCCAAAGCCCATCGGAGGTGACTTTCTTTCAGTAACTTCTTCTATAGTCTATTTCGTCGGTTAAAGGGAATGGTTCTTTGCAGCTTTCCAGGCCTGGTCGAGCGCTTCGAACTTTACATTTGTGGCCGGGAGCTGGCCAATGCATTCTCGGAGCTGACAGATCCGATAGAACAGGTTCGTGCTCTTGTTTCTCCTTGCCATCCCGTGACTCAAGCAGCCTTTTGTCATCAGAGAGCCAGGTTCGAAGCGCAAATCCGAGCTCACAACAAGCAGCTGGAAGAGGCAGCAGCCGCTGCGCGAGACCGCGGAGAATCGGCGGTTAAGCAACACAAGAACGACTCATACGAAGTCACTCTAGACGAAGACTTCCTCACAGCACTGGAGTATGGAATGCCTCCCACCGCCGGAATGGTAAGAGAGTTCTAAAACTTGGAGTGACTGATAGAAATCTCTTCCTTTTATACCTCTCCAGGGAATTGGGATCGACCGCCTCGTCATGCTTCTCACGGACAGTCCAAGCATAAGAGACGTGATTGCTTTCCCGGTGTTAAAATCCCAGCAATAAGCTAAAAGCAAAGCTCTATTGTTTTAGGTGGCTTTCTCCGTGGACGCAGCGACGAGGGTGGTGGCTATCGCGGCTGCCAAGTTCGGTCGCAATCTCCTCAACGAGAATCAAGTCATTGTCATCACGACATGGACACGGAAGCTGTTCGGGAGCACTACTTCAAGTTACGTGACATTCCAGATCACACAGCAAAAGCATGGATGGCTCGTGGCGGTAGTGGTGCGATGGTCACGGCACACAAGGAGCTATACGCCTACGATCTACGTGCCGGTACTACCAGAGTTCTGAGGCCATTCGGTGGGGAGGATCTAGCCCCAGCAACCAGACTGTTGTACACTTTCGGCTTTCGAAGGCAGTGATTGGGAATTGCGGTGTGTGATTGTGATTGTGTGCATGTGTGTGTGTGTGCTTGTGTACCTGTGTTGTGTGATAGAATGAATATGCGGAATTTCGTATGAGTCGTCCTTGTGTTGTTTAACACCCGATTCTCCCCTCAGGCGCAATCCCAATGCCGAATCCTCGCCTCCATCGCCAGCACTCTTGGAAATCCTGGAAGGAACCTCGGTGCTGCTGGCGCTGCTGCTGAGAGAATGCAGGATCCTTGGCACCGCTTCTGAGAATCTGGACGGAGCAGCACACCATCGCGCCCGCAATAAAACTTTATAAACCCTAAGGGAGGGGTTTCCGGGGTCCCAGGCTCGAATCCGGCGAGATGGATATTTCACCCAAAGCAGTTAAAACCGGACAAGAGGATAACGGCCAAGATTGTCACGATAAATGGACATAAGCATAAGAAGCCAACGCTCCCTGCTTTACAAGAACCACCCAACACAATTATTGTATATTGACATAGCACGCCAAAGAAAAGGCTCCCATCTTGGAAATTCAAATCTTCTTAACCCACAAGCCATCATCCTAGTCTGAGTGCTTGTTTTGGGGCTGGAGTAGTGTAGTATCTGGAGGAGTTGTGGTGTCACTTGACCATCTTCACTATGGTATTCTTCTAAGTTTCAAGTGTACCTTGATGAACTTCCTTACCCTTTCAGCCTTTTCATGATTTTAAGGAACATCATCAGACAGCTGATTATATTGCATGGGTAGTGAAGGCTCTCCAGTATCTGAAGCTCAAAAACAAAGACAAGTATCAAAAACATAAACCGAATGCCAACAACACCCAGAGGAGAGCTTCACTCTCTAGTACTCACATGCAGCTTGCTTCGCCATCTGCCTCGAATCTCTTCTCGACTGACTAACCTCTAGGAAGCGCTAGGCCAGGGAGAGAGGAAAGCAAAAGGGCCAAACCTTATTATGTGCAGAGCTTATTCTCGTTCCTTGTTCTCCTTCGCTGGCCTGCCTATATACACATGATGCTTTCCATGACCATCGAGGCCCCGCCCTCCGGTCTTGCGTTCTTCGGGAAGACTCTCCAACATTCCCAAGCACCATCTACGTAACAGTGCATGAACCTAGAGCCGGAGCTGAAGAAAAACCAGCCACTGTCGAGCTTGAGCACCTCCACTGGAAAGACTGTTCCAAACCTCCGGCCTCTCTCAGCTTGCACTAGGTGGAGTGGCAGCCAGCACTCCCAGGCCTTGCTTGGTGCTCTTCATCTGGAAGATTTTGAAGTTGACGTGCTTGCCGCGCTCGTTGGTACACGACTGTAGATAGAAGACTCGGTTGCCATGGGAGCATATAACAGGGCTGTATGCGTCGGTGCCAGCGGGAAGTGGAAGTCGTCGCGCCTCTCCAGCCATCGTCAAGACCAGGAGAGAACGATCTTGGCGCTCCTCCCCTTCCAGATCGGTAGCAGCACTACGGCTCCATCGGGCTGGAGCACCGCTGCCTTGAAGTTCTGGGGATTGTCCGAAGAGTAGGCATATGCATGCGATGTCCATGCTCGTCGGCCCCCGTCGCCGTCGAACAGCCCGTGCATCTCGACCAGCGTGATCGTTTGCGACCCGATTCCTACGACCGCCAGGACGATATCGGTGTCCCTCCCAACCCCCACCTCGAGCATCGACGCCAGCATGCAGTTCCCTCCGCGATTCACCTCCGGCGGCAGCGCGATGCCGAGCTCTTGATACGTCCCCAAGGCTGGCCGGAAGGCAGCGAGGCGGCCATTGTCAAGATCAACGAGGACTGAGTGTGACCGCAGTGTTGGCCCGAACACAAAATCCTCCGGATCTCCTGGTTTCTGTGGCGCGGTGACGATCCACCTCCGCGGAACCCATGGATCGAGAAAGCAAATCTGTTGGCCTCTTGGTCGCCTGCGACTGTACAAGAAGAAAACAAGGAAGCCCCGCTTCGACTTTCACACCTGTAGCTTCCGATGAGAACAGGCAAAGTCTACTAGTGCCTTTGGGTGTCTAGCACGTTCCTTTCCAGATCCAAGTGCGGTCCAAAGTCGAAATTCTTGGTGCCTGCGCCCACTTGGTGATCGACGAAGCGGAACATCGAATTCGAGGAGGAAATAAGGCAAATACTTGACTTCCTCAACCACAGAAGGCGAGGTTACAATAGTTTATGCACTGCTCAACTTTTACTCGCAGGGATTAACAGGTGGAACACCTTGCAAAACTGTCGCTCAGAGACCCATTGGTTGCATCTAATCAGGTAATCAGTACGTTTGAGCTGCTGGAGCAAGGTTACTGTGTGGTGCCGCCCGAGATGCGGCCCTTGATTCTCACAACATTCCTGTTTAAAGAAAACGGGCTTCTCCAGCGCTCGAAATTTAAGAACACACATTCCAGGTAATGGTCCTCTTCTCTTCGTGTAATTCGGTCAAGTTCCACTTGGAACCGTTTCGCCTCCTTCAGGAGCATTCACGGAAAGATGAAGCAGTCGAGGCGGACCAGTGCCTTTACGCAGTTTTGTGCTGGGCTCCTCGGTCTGGACATTCCTGCCGTGGTAAGCATTGCAAGAGAGGGATTGTGGCAATGGTTTTCTGAGTTCTTTGTTGTGGATCATCCAGTATATATGACGCCTTTTGATCCCAAGGTTGGCCTGGTTTTTGCTGATGAAAGCTTGCCTTCTTTCTTCACACACCAAAATCCTAGTTCTTCTAGGTGTGAAAGTCTTAAACTTAGGCTCTTGGACGCAGCGTGCATGGGACGATTGCCTGGATCGGCTACTTCCGATTTCCGCCAGGACGGCAGCGCAGCACTCGCGGATGCTCGGCTCGACGAGGACTACGAAGCGATCTATGACTGCCACCGTCGTGTGAGGGGATTGAGAGGATGATCCGGACCACACTGGGGACGGATTACTTCCACACTTCCAGAGGCGAGAGCGAATCTGGCAAGAAATCTTGCTCCTGTCGCTGGACCTCTTTGACTTGTTGACTCTTTGACTTGAGATTTTGGCATGAGGTTGAATTAATCTCACCTTGTAGCCGCTATACGTGAAATGCTGCCTTCTTTTTCCCTCCCAAGGCCTCAAACACTCCACAAGAGCTGTGCAGCAAGATCGATCAATGCACTTGTCACTAAGATGAGCGCTTCTACCACCAGGATACGGGTTTTGATCCTAGAAAGACCACATTGTGAAGTTTTTCAAGCAGTATATATAGAGACTAAAAGAAGAAGAACATACCTCGTTGTAGTCATCCCCTCGCAAGCTCCCATCCATGTCTCGATCCATACTCGATCTTGTCAAGAAAATCTCGCTGACTAACAGCGTCTTCTTTGGTGTGAGCAATCTGTTCTTCTATCCTTGACAAGAGCTCACTTGGCAGCGGACGCCTTCAAGTCTTACCTGCGCTCGTATCAGGCGCACACGGCCGCCTTTGACATCCACAAACTAGACTTGCAGGTTAATTTGTTCCTTTTCTTACTCGTGCCAAGGCCTGGAACGAAAGTGTTGGTGTTTTGCAGGCTCTTGCCGCATCGTTTTGTCTCAAGTCGATCCCGCCTGGCTGCACCAGCATTCACAGCAATGCAGCCAAGCACAGGAAAAAGAGAAAGGGAGCAGGGCATGTGTTCAGTGCTGAAGATCCTTATGGGAAGAAACGGAGTAAACAGTGCAAGTGAGAATGCGCTGGGTTCTCACGTTGTTATGCTGGACAATGGCTGGGCTGTCAAATGGCCGCATTTTATTTTCCTCATCTCCTTTTTCTTTGTCCAAGGGTGAAAAGTGAAAATGCGCTGGGTTGTGACCAAACCTCAACTGAATTCAAACGATCAAAAGAGGTTGGGAGAGAGCCTAGAACCCTGTAGCAGGCATGCTTAAGTCCCGAGATCTTCTGAACCTGATTTGTTCCTAATGATCCGGCATTCTCCCTCACCCATACACACACCTGAGCCCCAAAATCCTGCCCCTACTGCGCACATATCTCTCCGGAATCGTGCTCCAGCAAGGCACATTCCTTGCATTGCCAGATCTGGCTGTGGATGAAGTGTTCGATTGTCTGGGATACAAGGATCATCTTTCCCAGATCGCGAGCACATCGAAGGAGCTGCAGTCGCTGGTGAAGAAGTACACTGCTCGCCGTCGAGCTATTGGTGTTTTCCTTCGGAGAGGCCACGGGCCATTTGGCGAGGATGAAGACGAGCAGAGAACGATGCTCTGTTTGATGGAGCTGGAAGGAACTGGCGCGCTACATACTTGTCCAGCCAGGTGCCTCACGTTTCATTTGAATTTGTGACAGCCAGGGGAGTTCGAGGCCATTCTTGCAACATGTAATGGCTACATCCTGGCGAGGCTAGTGGGGACTGTGCCGGATACCGACAGGCTAGGCTTGCACCACTGCTTGGATGATTCCACAGTGGTGCTATGAAGGTGGACATGCCAATTGCGGATGTGGGAGTTTGTGTTTGGCGATACCGTCCCTTTCTCCGTGGACGCAGCGACGAGGGTGGTGGCTATTGCGGCTGCCAAGTTCGGTCGCAATCTACTCAACAAGAATCAACTCATTGTCATCATGACATGGACACGAAGCACTATGGGTGCTGTTTGGCGGATAAATGAGGTAAACAAAAAAAAATAGTTTCTATTTTACAATTTGGTATTAAAGATTTTTCCTTAGTTTTAGCGACAGATAAAGGTAGATCGCTAAGAGATGGCTAAAGCAAAGCATAAACAAACCAAGGCAAAGACTCCAGAGATGGAACTTCTGGTCGAAGAAAAAACTATGTATGAAAAAACATAACAAACTTATGGCAAAGGCATGGGCATTGAGATTGATAAAGTCAAATATTGATATATGAGAGAGAGAGAGAGATCCCAGCCATTAGTCCTATATGAGAGAGCCACATGGAGGAATCCTAACCATTTTTCCGTTTTGTGGGAAGCTGCCTTCAATTACAAATTCCACATGTTCATTCTATCACACACACACACACACACACACAAAGGCACACAATCATAATCACACAAT